CATTATGGGCTGATGGTTGTATTCATCAATCACTTACAGTCGAAGAAATTCTCTATTTAACACTTGCATATGATTGGTATTTATTTGGACACAATCTATCAGAACGATTGAAGTTTGATGAAGAAATTCTCTATTTTACTTTCATTATGCTTCCACATTTGGTTGAAAATGAATTCGTATTTCAACCATCAAATATCACTAATAGACAATCGATACTGGTAGCAACTGAACCCAATAGTCACTGCTCATCAGGATATCATTGTATCTATCCCGACATCGGAAAAGATTCAACAAAGAAGACAATTCGTAAAGAAAAATTACTTGCTGTCTCTAATCTATTTCATGTCTGCTATCTAACTGTGGTACCCAATGATTCAAACAAGCTTGACCCTCAACGACTAGGACTACATGTTGCTCGTTCAATTAAGAACTTTTTCATCCGTTGATGACCTCAATTTCATTCATATTTTAAATGAGCTATTTTATATCTTGCTCAAAAATCATATTTCATCTACCACTATATGCATATCTTTTTTTTACTATTCTATTTAAAATATTAATTCTAGATTGTTATGATATTAGAAATCTGTGTATAATAAATTGATATTGGACAAAAAATTTTGATCAGATACATGTTGCAATCAAGATACAATATGAATCGATACATGACATCACACACTACAGATCGAACTGTGGTCAATTAATGCTTATTGAATTCAATTTTTATTTTGCATTCTCTTACATTCTTACTGTGTCCTCGACCAATATCCATAAAAAAAAATAAGACTACAAATTGGATTACCTATGACACTTTAACAGAATTCTCACCTATTGCGTAAAATGTCAAATCAGTAAGACTGAACTTACCAAAGAATTTCGATATCACATACAAAAAAAGGTATAAGTCTACTTTGGGATGGGTGTTTTATTCTCCAAAATCTACATCCACACCCACACCCCATCCAAGAAAACATCTATTTCATATTTGTTTTTATCCTTTTTATGAATAAAAATAAGAAAAATTTTCAATTATTGGGTGGGCGAGGGGAAGAGGGTTCGGTACAGTATAGAACCAATTTTTAAAGCCGAGCAGACATTGTCATAGAGAACCATCAACAGTAGGAAAGCGTAACACCCCATGCACTGATGTCCCTCCCTTGGTAGCAAAGGTATCGGAATGAACCAATCATCGCTTCTCAGAAAATCTGTTTAGAAGAAAACTATATAGCGAAAGTATTTGATTGATTCGAGTCTAAACTTGAAAAACATGATTGGACGAGAGTTAGACCACGAAAACACATGATTGCCAAAATTTCCAGCATAATAAATAGTCCAAATTCTGACAGATATGTCCTTGCAAACATATAAGCAAGGATATAGAAAAAAAAACAAGGCACATTTTTATTTCATATGAACTTCCATTCGGTCGAAAGAGAAAGAATCAATCGAAACGAGTTAACATTTTAAAATGAACACCATAGTATGAAGAATAAGATGAGTTGTTATTGTTTTTTTTTCTAAACACCAGTATTATCAGTAAAACCGAGTAAAGACTAGAATAGAGTAGAAATAATTTCATGAAAACTAATACAATTTTAAAAAAATCAGTGAAATATTGTAGAAAATAAAGGTCTACACCTACTTGATTCTGATTTTTTTCCTGTTCATCTTGAATTTTTTGAAGAGCATCGGATATGGTTGCCACTATTATTACTGAAGATATTTTGCTGATACCCAAACTTCGTAATGTTTTCCATTCATAGTCTGAAAAATAATTACAATACTTTATCTATTTAATTAGTTTTTTTTAATGATTACATAAGAGTAATCATTTTGGACAAGGATTATTGCCTTCATAGAGGAATACTATGAATTTGCTAGTTTTCCCATACGAGCGTAGACAATATGAAAAAACAATTAAAATTGTTAATCACTCTAGCAATAGACTTTAGCACTTGATATATTCTACGTGTCAATTATTTTTGTCCTATCGAAAGAATCCCATTCGAAACAGCTGTTCTTCGATCAAATTATCTTTCAAGGGGATCAATGTGTTCACTCCATCTTTGCTAAAAAGTAATTGATTCTAAAAGGTCTGATATACAAAATATTACGTAGAAATAAGATAATGATCGTCAACTATAAAATATACGTTCTATGGAAAAAAAAGAATTTATTTGTACAGTTTCTTTTCGAACGTTGTATAGATAATTGTGCATTGGTTTTCAGTAACAAATAAGTGTCTTACGAGGGAACTTTTTCAACTGTCAAATCGCTTTTGAGTTCAGACTCTGTGCATAACGTAGACCCTGTTGTGGTATGAAAAACCTCAAAATAACAAGTGCCTCCAGGCCTTCTGTCCAGAATTATAAGCATTTTACTGCAGTTTTAGTCTATAACATGGTGCATACCAAAAAATCGAATGGTCGTATTTCGGCCTCAGATTTATTCCACAGACAGGCCTATTGTTGAGCAAAATTAGTGATATCATATTAAAAAAAATGTTCACAGAGACACATTGTGATCAAGGAGAAACTGACAAAAAAAGACAGACATACCATTATTTTAATTAAGAATGAGAGATTTATAAATGTGCGACTGTTTCTTTTTGTATCTTCTTTCGTCAAATAAATTTTTTCAAAACAAGAATTCGAAATAAAATCTTCTATGATCATTATTTTAAAGAATTTCTCTAAATTTTTATTGATACGATTATTAAAGGAAGTTTTATATTGTATGAAATAATTAAAAATTTGAAAGCTATTCTATAATATAGACTTACATGGTAAATTGCACAAATAAACTTTATATTTATGATCGTTGAGTTCTTTTATTGTTTGAATAAAGATTTTTCCACCAGAATAATCTATTTGACTAATAGCTGAACAATCAACAATGACATGTGTTCCATTCTGATCATCGTCGATAAATTTTTCGTTCACTGAATCTAGTTTCTTTTCATTTGTTTTCGATTCATCTCGAAGTAATTTTAAAATACTATCATTAAAATATTCACCATTAAAATACATAATAGGTGATTCGAAACGTAATATTTTTATATTTGGTAATTCACGAGCCTTCATTTTATGAAAAATAAACAATCTATTCAAATCAATTAACATATAGATATATCAAGTCTTACATTTGAATAGTGTCTTGACATATTATGTACTTGATTATCGTCTAAAACACCAAGCACAAAAGTTCGAGGTCTACAAAATAATTATGTTTTCGTTGTTTTTTTTTTTTTCATAATAAAAAAAATCAAATATTGACCTGAAATGATAAAGTATTACGACAATGAACGAAACACATATGCCAACGATAAGTCCATAATCAACATCGAGAATAATTGTACTGAAAAATGTCGATATCCATACAATCTAAAGTAATTTTTATTTTCTTCTTTTAAAAACAAACAATTAAAGTAACTATGTTAATTAATAGCTCAATATTTAACAATTACTAGTTTACTAAAAACTAATCTTTTTATTTTTCATATTCAATTCATAAATTAATATTAGAAGTTTTGGAATTATCAGACAAATTGAACATATTGATTTCTTTTTGATTACTCTAGGCATTATTTTTGAAAATTTCGAACACATTGAAATGTTTTTTAATTCTACAATGAATATTCTATTAAAGAAGATATTTTGAACTCTGTTTAATTTCGTGAATCAATCCAGAGAGTTTCAATATTAAGTCATCAGTTCATTTTCATTAGTCTTTGCTAATACTGTTTATCTATTCAAACAAACCTTTATTTATAAATTATTAACACAAACGATCAATTCTACTTATGTATTATAAATTTCTTCAGCAAAATTCAATTATAATGCAATATAGATATCATTTTCTTTTTTACTTTTCCAATACTTGATTTTTGTATAGTGATCTCTCACTCTTTTCAAAATTTTCAAAAATACACTTTTTTTTAGGACGTTGAAATTTACACATCCTTCATCTCACTTTTTGATTTTTTTTCTATTAGGTTTTTAATTAAGTTTTCACGAAAAATTTAAAATCGATAAATATAAAATGTCTTTAAAGTTCAATGGAAAAGTTAATTCATAGAATTTCATTATTTATCAAAGTTAATCAATTCATTTTTATTTTTCGACTAGAATAAAAAAGACTAGACCTTTTAAATATCGAGCATGTCTTACTTTTATGATTTACAGATACTTATTGATCGAGTATAGATTTTGTCTTTATCTTAACCAAATAAGAGTTTATAGAAAAATGTGTATGTTTGCTAATTAAATTGAAATTCAAATAAAAATAACTAATAGTACTAACTGTTTCGAGTTTCGTTACACGTCCAATAGTGAATATATCTCTCACTTTCATTAATAAATTTCGAAGTGAAACAATAATAATTGCTACAAGACATGCCTGAAAAGAAAACAGAATCTATCAATTTATTAGAAGAAAAACAAAAATTTTTCGAACCTTTGGCATTGGTTCAAGAAGTGGTCCAATTTTTAGAATTGTTATCAAGAGAAAGATACTGGATATAATGCCAACTAACTAACAATTACATCATAAACATCATTTTAATATGAGATATATATATATTTACCTGTGTTCGACCACCTAAATTAACACAAACGCTTGTTCGAGCCAATGACGAAGCACTTGGATAACAACCAAAAAATGAACAAATTATCTATATTAAAAACAAAAACATCTTCCTTGCTTGCTTTATCAGCATGGAATATTTTTCTCGTTGTCTCGAATATGATAAGAATCGATTTAATCTCACACTAATAAATAACTGTAGAAACTACTAAATCAAAGTATCACCGACATATGATTTTATTTATCGAACAATTCTATTTAACTGTTAGAATTGCGAAGAAAAGTGAGTATGAACTTTGATTTTAGTTCAATAAATTATTATATTCGTTCATATACAATCTTTTTAGAATAGGTTATTTCTATTAATCTATAAATTTCAAAACAATCCTATGATAATAAATGATTTAATCATTCATAGATACATATAGATAAAACTGTTCTATGCAATTAAAGAATTACAATCGGAGAGAATTAAAAATTTTGTTACAATAAGATTTTATTCCAAGAATTTGCATTAAAATGTGATAGTTGAATGAGAATTTTAGTGCGGCATGAAGAATGTTTTTCATAATTTCAATTATGAACTCTCTCAATAAATGCCAATAAATATAATCACTTATATTAATCAATTCTTAACATTCAATTTATAATAAAACATTTCAGATCGAACCAATTTCAAAGTATCAACAGAATTGATGTTCTTACATTTTTTTTGGATCATAGCATAGATAGAATCTCTATTGAATCACATAGCTGTTTAGTAACTTAAAAAATACTCTATTGTATACTTAAAATGTCTTATGAATAAATATCTGTTTGAATGAATATAACTTACATTACATAGTCCATAAGCAGATAATTCTTGATTGGCATCAACTATATAATTGAGTTGTTTGGCATAATTTTTTGCAAGTGAATATGATATAGCATATGATACAATAGCTATCGAAATTGATTCTTTTACTAATAAAGGCAATAATTTCCATTGATGCCATTCAGGTGCACGAAAACTAAATATTAAAATTAATTTTCTCTTTTTTCTGACATGTAGATCTCAATAATGAATGTTAATAGATTATCTCAATTGATCTGACTGAAAAGAATGATATGAACTATTATTTAAAAATACTTTAATAATTCAAGTTTTAAATTTGAGATAAGTGATTTTTTTTTAAGATAAAAGTGAAATAAATCTCACCCTTTTCCAATTGTCTTTATTGTCTTAACATTATATCGACTATTGAGATGAAATTTATGTGATAGAATTGTACCAATTATAATCTATAATTAATTTATAAAAGAAAAACTTTCATTATAATTGTTTACGTACAACAATCAATTCAATTGGAATAGGTATTTGAACTTTATGAAATATTTTCCATTTTTTAATCATTCGTTTATAATAAGGTTCAAGATATTCTTTAACTGTATATATAGTAATTATTCCACTTATTGATATAGTTAATGTTATTAAATTTGTTTCTCGTAAACGTTTAAATAATTCAATATAAATCTTAATAAATCAATAAAAACAAATACGAGAAATCTAATCATTATAACTTACATAAACTATTTTAAAAAAACCTGTACGATGTTGAATTTTAATACCGAAAAAATCCGGCATTTGAGATGTTAGAACGAGTACAGCAGTCGATGCTGTATAACCACTTATAAATGTATCTGATAAGAATACTGTTACAAAACCAAATCGAAATATACTAAGAATTAACTTATTCAGAAAAGTAAAAATTAGTTAATTAATTAATTTTAATATAATCATTAAATCTTACTTGTATTAATCCAACAGTAAATGAAAGTGCCATTACAATAGTTACTTCATTATAATCTCTTCGAATTGTATTATCTGTTATATTTGTTTGAATTATTGTTGAACTTGATTCAATAGTAAAACTATTGACGACATTACCAGTCATAAGACTAATAACAGCAATGCCACCTTTTCATTTAGAAAATTAAATTAATTTATACATAGAATGAATAAAATATTTCTCGTCCTCCTACAATCTTCTTATTTTATGCAAAATGATCGAATCATTTCGACTTATTATAAACAAAGATTTTCCTTATATTAAGAATAATTCATCAGAGGAATTTACATTTAATATATCAATCAGATAGATCTCATCGATATTTTTTACAATAAACGCTTCAACGCTCAAATGTTCGACAAGAATCAAAAGACTTATTCGATCGTTTCAATGTTGTTTATTAAAACCTATTAAACAAAAAAAATAAAATAAAATTCGTACCTATCGAAACATGTCTTGATGTACCAAATAATGCATAAATTAAAGGTGGAAAAAATGACATGTATAAACCTTTAAAAATATTTAAATCCTATTAATTAAATAATAAATTAAATAAATGATTTACCAATTATAGCTGGAACATTAGCTAATAAAGCATAGGCCATTCCTTGTGATATGTATATTATTGACACCTACAATATATATATACAGGGTGATCCAAAAGTCTTGATACCTCTGACAAAAGTTGCTGTTTCTCTCTTATTACAAATTCAAAAATGCTCAAATTTTGGCATTTAATTTATTGGAACTAGATGAGTATTACTCCAAATTTTTGTATCTCTAGCCTGAATAATAAGAAAGATATATAACTCATATTGTAGAGAAGCTTCTTTTCTCAGGTCGTAAAATAGAAAAATCAACATTTTTACTTTTGAGGTAGTATTCATATTTTCATATTAATACAATCGTCTCTATGGATCACATACCCTTGTTTCTCAGCTAGATATTTCAATTGTCTTAATATTGAATAAATCAAATCTTAGTACGTTTGCCAAGCGTGTACTATGAAAATTTCCTCTTTAATTGTTTTGTATTTTGGCGATAGATGTTCATTAAATACGATAGGATGACAGAAAAATGTCGAGAAGTAAAAGTTCGATAAGATAAATGTTAAAGCAAAAGCTTTAAACGAAAAGACGCGAAATAGAAAAATGCCGAAAAAAGTTTATCAAAAATCAATAATGGGTAATCTTCATAAGTTTCTATTTAATCGATCAAAATTGAACAGAAACTTATAAATATGCTATAGAAACATAATTTTTACAAAGTATCTCTATTTTCATACAAATGCTTACTATTACTTAGATTTTACGGCCTGGGAAAACAAGCTTCTCTACAATATGAGTTATATATCTTTCTTATTATTCAGGCTAGAGATACAAAGATTTGGAATAATACTCATCTAGTTCCAATAAATTAAATGCCAAAATTTGAGCATTTTTGAATTTGTAATAAGAGAAAAACAGCAACTTTTCTCAGAGGTACCAAGACTTTTGGATCACCCTGTATATATATCTTTATTCATTAAAAACAACAAATATTCGATATATCAGTAATGTTTTTTACAGGAAAGATATTATGGAAATATCTTCTAATCATGTCGAATATTTTTCACAAATTTTTATTATTATTGAAAAGAAGAGAATTTTACAATTATTATTCAAATTTTATTTTAATATAAGAAAATTGAAGACTATCTTATTATATTTATTAATACTTTCTTTGATTATTTATCTTCAATAGTTCAATATAAAATTAGATAAAAAAATAAAAATTTTAACTTACAGTAACACCACATAATAAATCATGTGGTATCCATCCAATATCATAATATTGAAGCCAAGTTAAAAATGGAAAAAATCTATTTATATATGATCGAGCACATTTGTTTGATGGTATACAATTATCTTTAATATAATTAGTTGAATTTTTATATTTTTCATTTGTTACCGGTACAAATATTTGTTTTGATGATTGATATTTCATTTTTGAATTATTCGGAAAACTATTCATATCTTCCGATAAATCATTCATTATTAGATTTTAGTAAAAGATTAATCAACTGAAGATAATTTTATATGACATTTTCAAGAAATTTCTTTTTATTTTTTTCTCTTTCTCACCAATTATATTCGATTTTTATTTATACCCATAAAATTTAATATAACCATCATATACTTAGCAAATATTTATCCAGATAAATCATACTATTCAAACCCGCATTAGAAAAGCTGATTACAGTCAAAACAATCAACTAGACCAATATGATTATATTGTTTTTTTCAAGTACATTTAAATATTAGAATTTATTATTCATCTTATTTCAATCAATCTTTATACAGAAAAAGAGATTTTTTACTAATAATACCTACTAATTATTAAGTAAATAAACATAAATTCATTAAAACTAAATGATTATTCATAGATTCATCTAGTAAATAATGATTTGTTGATAGATAAGAGAGACAATAAAAGAATATTGAATGAACTAAATAAATAGAAGAAAAGAAAGAAATAAGAGATAAAGAGAAAAAGAATAAAGATTAGTATGTAAGTTCTTATTCATAAAATAAATATTTAGACACAAAAAGATCTTCAACTATGAAAAATTCATTTTAAAAAATTTCTGATATTTTATTCAACAATCAATTAATTCGACAAGAATTCTAATAAAATAAATCCTTTCAATATGATAGATATTTTATAAAATGTTCACATTCTATTACTTGAACATTCAATCATATTAACATAAATTATATTGACATTATTTTATTTGCTCATAAAGATAAAATTACATCGATTTATTAACAATTGACTTTTTTTTATTATATAGAATTATTGACATTGGTAGAACAACGATAGACGAATATCATTAAAAAAAAAACGTTATCTAATTTTGTTTATATTTAATATTGTTATTGAATAACAGAAATAATAAAAAGAAATATTCTATTTAGAATGATGTGAATCAAATGTACAATTAGAATGCATTTCATTTTCTTTAGTATTATCTAGACAACCTATTCAAATAGTTTTTGTTTTTTTTTTTCTTAAGAAAACAATTTTTTCATATCTAAGAATGCTGTTATTCAATCGAATCTTTTATTAAACCAGCTGTGATTATTATAATTTTTCTTTTTTTGTTTAAAAAAATAGTTCTTAAGTGAATTTTGTTTTTGATTATATTCGAAATATTTTACAAATTGAATTGATATTAGTCAACAAAATATATAAATAAATGAATAAATAATTCTAATGATAGTCAATAATTGAGAATATGATTTCTATGTGACTATTTATGGGTCAATTATATATCTAGAAGATTGTAAATGTATTCAGATGAAATAAAAATGCTTTATTGATTTGAAGCGTTTTATGTTAACAGATGATAAGTCAACAATTTAATTATTGATAAGACATAAAATAAAAACGATGAATTATATAATCACACTAACAAATTTCACTTTCAATTTCAATATCGATTCTTTATCATTAATTTATTCTCTATTTAATTAAGATAGATTTAATCATTTTTATAGATCATCTCTTACATATATATATAATATTTCTTAAATTAAATATTTAGTCAATCAAAGAATATCATCATTAATTATATTAGATTTTTATCAGGGGCAGCGCAAATAGGTCAGAGCAGGAGAGTATCCAAACATTGGAGGACATTGTTTAGAGATCATCTATAAACGTCGAAATAAATTGTTTAATTAATATTGAAATAAATAGTTCAAAAATATTTTATTCAAATCAAAGTTCATAGAACTATTTTACATGAACATTCTCTATTCATATATATTGATATGACATCATTAGAAGATCAACGATATAATTGATATAATAAAGAAGTTTTGATTTCAAATGGTAATAACTGTACAGTTGACCATAGAAATTCACGAATATTTAATGAAATTAGATTAGATGCTTTGATCAAGTAAAGATTGTATTTTATCTTGATAATTTTTCCTATCTTCACTTCGTGATACAACAAGTGAAATTAATTGATTCATATTCGGAATAATTCAACAAATATAATCATCGATCAGAAATTGAATAGAAAGATATTTAATATTTAAAAATTCAATGTACGACAAATTTAAACATTTAATTGAACTAAATTTATAGTCAAGATTATGTACACAATCATATGTTCAATACGAATCATTATCATAACAACACAGTTTGATTTCGATTGAATAAAAGAATAAAAACTTATCAAAAAACATATATGGTAAAGGGTCGAAATATAAATAAATATTTCGATCTATCATGTAATATTAAGATAATATTCAGTAATCGTTTCAATTTTAATAAATGATTGCAAATCAATTGTTCCGTTTTCTTTTTCCATCAATTAAAAATTACAACAGTATCAATTTTTAAATAAATTAAATTGAGCATCCATTGAAAAAAAATTGACAAAAATACTAAAGTTTACTCGAACTAATGGTATATTTAATATATAGATATTGATTATTACAGGCATGTTGCTCGCATCGCTTTGGTTATTTTTATCTGATTTCTTTCTTCTTTTCTTTCCGTCGTCTTTTTTTTTTTTTTTTTACTTTATACACATCGTTCGTATTAGAGAGAACATAGACGAGTCGGACAAAATGGTGTCTCATATTGATGTAACAGTTAATAGTACATGTGTACAGGAAACATTAAAATCGATATGGGTAGAAAAATGTCAAAGATTTGACGCATGTTGAAATAGACAAATGAATTGATTTAAAAAATGGTTTGACATCCCCATATAAAAATTTGTTCAAGAGTCGTTGAAATTATTTTTAGCATTGGAAAATGGATTTTGACTTTTAAAATGAATATTCAAATAGCAATAAGTAAGTTTAGATAAACTTCAAATATTATTCCCAAGCATATGAGATATGTAAAATTCGTTAAATAAGATAATTCTAATAGAAATCTATTCATTAATTATTTCGAACACATATGATATAATGAAAGTGATTGTAAATGAGTAAATTGATTAAGTTTGAAACCATATGTATAGAATCGATCGATTTGTTCATTCAGGAGTTTCATCAACATCTAAGAAATACAATGAAACAATTCGATCGATCATTTGTGGAATATGTTGATAAACAGCATCAAAATCATATTTAGATATTGATCTAAAGTCAAAGTCGTTTATTCGAAAATGATCAAGAAGTAAAGAGAATCAAAACGGAAAAAAATGAGACCACGAAATAGATTAGCACTAATAAAAAAATTCGAATAGATCGAGTCATAATTCATTCGCCAATGATTATAAATTCATTATTTATTCTGATGCTCTTTCAGGTTTACCAAATGGATTCGAATGACGTAAGTATTGTGACTAGCAACGTTTATTTGGCTGAAATAAAGAAATAAAAAACAAAAAACTTAAATAACATGATTCATCCATATTCTCCGCGATTTTAATATCATATAGCTATGTCAATATTATCTTAGGCTTTGCTTTCTATTAGACTAAAAATGGATACCTTATGTTGAATATTACAAACTAGAAAAATAATAAAATAGTATGATCACTAGATAAAAAGTAATAACAGAAAAGGGCCGATCTTTTAATATGCAGACATCTAAGTACTTCGATGTCTTATCAATTTAGAATATGACAAAATAAAAAAAAAGAAAATGACAGATGCAAATACATCGTTTATCGAATACGTTAATTTCTGACGTCACTCTCTCTTTGTATTTTATACGACTTTAGACTATTTTCAATTTAGCACTATGTAGGTCGCATATCTAAATAATCGGATATCAACGTTTTCATTAAAAAATCACGAGTGAAGACTTGCTCAATCATTCAATTCTGATCCTCTGCATGTACCTTTGAAGAGAACATTTTCAGCTGATAAATTCAGACTATGTTCAAAATCGATCGAGATCAATTTATCAATAATTAGCCAAAAGCAGTTTTATATTTTGAGTGTGAGCATAGGTGTGAAGATAAGAATAATACTCAAAATCCACACGCACGTCCATCCTGTGACAAGTCATGAAAACTCTATGAGCTTGATTTTTCGATTAGGGAAAGCCTATTTTGAGAATATGACAAATTATTATGAATTTTGATGAAAGCTATTCAGGGCCGAGGAATGTGAATCAATGCGTGGTTGGTGAAAACATCAAACTTGAAAATTTTAAGAAATCAGTAACAGAATTGAATTCCTTGGCCTCAAAAACTGTTGTTCATACTTTATAAGAAATCGTTATTTTCGCAAAATAGGTCACTCGAGACCGAAAATTAGACTACACAAATTTTCTGTTACTCGCTACTACATATCATAACGGAAACTAATCTCCTCTGGTAGTGGACCGGTACTCGGTCATCGTGACATTCATAATTCAATATACTCGTTGTTCAATAAGTGAAAAAAATATGCTTTCGATTTTAGACTTTGTTTGTGTTTTAAGCTGTTCAATTAGAACCTTTATATAAGGTGTCAGAGTCCCTCACTTGACAATTCGTTTCTATACGTTTTCGAACATGTCAATATGTGTGGACATACCTTTCCTTTCATTTTGTGGCAAGTCACTATATGTTCCCGAATCTCTGAGAATAGAGTCAGAAACATACATCTATAATTGTGATCGTGACCAAACATCGTGATCATGCAGAGCTGTAGTTACCAGTAATAAATGTAAACAAGACTTTATGAAGAAAAGAATATTTGTGGTTCTAAAGTCACGTATGCATGACGAACCGAAAAAAGGAGATAGTATTGTAACGAAAAAGAAAAATCAAAATGTTGAATATTGTTATGGAAAAAAGATTGCGATATCGATCACCATTGCCATTTATGCATGTTCTTCATCTTCCTGTTCACCACCTTCACCCTCTTCTACAAAAAAAATAAAGAAAACAATTCAAATATCGATGGGATACAATAATAAATTTGCTGACCTTCAACTGTGGCATCTTGATATTGTTGATATTCACTAACAAGATCATTCATATTCGACTCAGCTTCAGTAAATTCCTATGAAATCAACAACAAAAACGATGA